GGGGGGGGGGGGGGGGGGGGGAACTTTCGTATTGATGACGCAAGGATGATATCAGTTTATTGCACATTGGCCATAAAGGAAAATAAGCTCTATGTACATAAAGATACAGTCAGCATTATTATGACACAGGTTCCAAGCTAATGTTACACAAGCCATGATAATGCTACGTCGTCTTAAGCACATTGCGTCCGTCATGTAACAATCATTGCGTCATGATAATACTACACTAGCAATAATAATACTACATTCATCATTATAGTACTACACTAGTAATAATACTACTACATTCATCATGATAGTACTACAACCGTCGTGGCAGTGACTCAGTGAAAATCCCGGCGACTCTTTCGACGTGGGGCCCAGTCAGGCGTGATGATGCTACATCCGTCATGATCCATGCCAGATCCGTTATGGTCAATAAGCGTCCGTCACGATAACGGCACGGGGACAACGAAAGCACGCCCGTGAACACTCGGGTCACAGTGTCGGCGGTACAATGTGGGCCTTAAAGTCGTCTGGTATGTGCGATGCGGGGGAGTGCTCCCCATTCAGAGGTTGTGGGAAAGCAGCAGAGACGAGGAGATCCGGGCAGGACCCGGTCATGCTCTCCTCACCGTGGAGCTGGAAGAAATCGGGACAGCTCGGACGACTCGGACGAATCCCAGCACTGGCCGGACATTCGAAACTCCGGATGCTGACCCCGCCCCGCTGACTGCCTCCCAGTTGGCGCTCGGCTTCGGATAAGTTAGAAAAGGAACCCTCGTTGGACGCCATCGTCTCGTCACACTCCGGAAGTCGAGGCACGTGTCTGCCGAGCGGCGCGACCGGCTCCAACAGAGAACTGCAGAGGGTCAAGGTCGAGTTCGCCACCGGATCTGGGATTTCTCGAATCCAACCATACACCCCTCCTTTGCTCGGCTGATTCTCGGAAGCCTTGTCGTGCAGCCCTCTGATGACGACCCAAAGGCTCGAGCTCAGAACGCCCTCACCGTCCAAACGGATGTTTTTGTATTCCGGAAACGTATGGCAAAGCTCTTTGCAGAGGTCCATCATCTGCCACGGCAGGTAGTAGACGTTGGCGTAGTGGCCGTGAGTGGTGACGGGGCAGAGATCTGGCCTGTTGTACATGGATTGGGCATCGTGCGGGGCTGAACTGGAATGACAGAACCTCTCCTCCATCACCGTTATCTGCTCATCATTGGTCAGCGCGTCCGCAAAAGGACTGATTGATTTTATGGTGACTCGGTCGTTGGTGAACAGGGCAACGACGGTGTTGAGACCAGACGAAGTCTTACTCTTAGTCTTACATGTAGTCGTAGATGAAGTCTTACTCTTAGTCTTACATGTAGACTTAGATGAAGTCTTAGGTGAGTTTGGGGATTTTCCCTTGAAAACTATTTCATCCAAGTCCGACTGTAATCCGAGGCTGTTGCTATTTTGATTAAGGAGACAGACAGAAGTGCTTGCTTCGTAGTTGACATGGGTGGAGTAGGAAAAAAGCAAGTGTATGGCGCAGAGGTAGTTGCCCCCATCGCTGTCCCCCCTCCGTAGCAGTGAACTACGACTGTTGTCATTGGTGGTCATTAAGTTGACCGTATCGCCGCTGTCCATCGCAGGACACTCACACGCTACTTCAGTTTGAAAGAGTTCTCCCAAAAACATACAGAAATGCGACGTTAACTTCACTTCCAGTTCTCTCGACGCTTGGCTGATGACAATCATTGAGCTGGGGTCTGAGGATGAAAGGAATACAATCAAATTGATTAACTGAACATCCAATCAAATTGATTAACTGAACATCCAATCAAATTGATTAACTGAACATCCAATCAAATAGATTAACTGAACATCCAATCAAATAGATTCACTGAACATCCAATCAAATAGATTAACTGAACATCCAATCAAATAGATTAACTGAACATCCAATCAAATAGATCAACTCAACATCCAATTAAATAGATTAACTGAACATCCAATCAAATAATTAACTGAACATCCAATCAAATAGATTAACTGAACATCCAATCAAATAGATCAACTGAACATCCAATCAAATAGATTAACTGAACATCCAATCAAATTGATTAACTGAACATCCAATCAAATAGATTAACTGAACATCCAATCAAATAGATTAACTGAACATCCAATCAAATAGATTAACTGAACATCCAATCAAATAGATTAACTGAACATCCAATCAAATAGATTAACTGAACATCCAATCAAATTGATTAACTGAACATCCAATCAAATAGATTAACTGAACATCCAATCAAATAGATTAACTGAACATCCAATAAAATTGATTAACTGAACATCCAATCAAATTGATTAACTGAACATCCAATCAAATTGATTAACTGAACATCCAATCAAATAGATTAACTGAACATCCAATCAAATAGATTAACTGAACATCCAATAAAATTGATTAACTGAACATCCAATCAAATTGATTAACTGAACATCCAATCAAATTGATTAACTGAACATCCAATCAAATAGATTAACTGAACATCCAATCAAATTGATTAACTGAACATCCAATAAAATTGATTAACTGAACATCCAATCAAATTGATTAACTGAACATCCAATCAAATTGATTAACTGAACATCCAATCAAATTGATTAACTGAACATCCAATCAAATAGATTAACTGAACATCCAATCAAATAGATTAACTGAACATCCAATCAAATTGATTAACTGAACATCCAATCAAATTGATTAACTGAACATCCAATCAAATTGATTAACTGAACATCCAATCAAATTGATTAACTGAACATCCAATCAAATTGATTAACTGAACATCCAATCAAAGACCAGTTCATCACTACGGTAACATTTTTTACAAGCATACACAGAGAAAGTACACACGCACACACACACACCAGATACACACGCATAGACGCACATTAATAAACACACACGGACACACAATCCGGGACAAACACGCACACACACGCACATTATGTTGAATCATATTTTAATCATTAGTTTAAAATATGGTATATGCTATATTTTGATTTCACGGAAAGAAAATTAGAAATATTTTTGTAAAAAGTTTTTTTGTTTAATTGTTACCCATTTCTCCCCCCCCCGCACCTGCCCTGCACCTCCCCCACACCTCCCACACACCTCCCCCACACCTACCTCTGACAAACATTTAATTTAACAACTGCTAAAAACAACGTTTTTCGAATAAATCCTTTTTTTACAATGTAACATCGAGCAAGCTTGAGAGTGGGGCTGAAAATCTGACAAAACATGCATATAAGTAATGCACTTTATAAGAATCCCACTTAGTGCTCACCCCCCCCCCCCGGGCCCGCAACCCCCCATTTTTTTTTCCGCCCCTGAACCCCATTATTAAAATTCGAATGTTGCCCCCATTGAGAGTGGGGTGGAAAATCTGACAAAACATGCATATAAGTAATGCACTTTATAAGAATCCCCCTTAGTGCTCACCCCCCCCCCCCCGGGCTCGCAACCGCACATTTTTTTTCACGCCCCTGAACTCCATTATTAATATTCGAATGTGGCCCCCGCTTTGACACCTCAGCTATTTTTCACCAACTACATCAGATCAAACAAAAGAGTAATAGTACGCACCAAACGCACTTGCGATATCTTTTTAAAAAAATCTCTTTTAGCGCAGTTATCGGGAATTTTATTACAAGAAATCAGCGTCATACTATTTCCCTCATCTTCTCATTGAAGAACAGGAAAAACTCTTTGTGGGGGTTTATGGTTGGGGAGTTGGGCTGAATATTTGAAAGAATGGGTTGTCATCGGCAACGAGTCTACGTGCCAAGTTTCAACTCGATAGGTTGGCGGCAAGTGGGTCAATTAGCCGTTCGAAGCTTTTTGCCAACAAGCCGCGAACAAAAGTGAAGTGCATATAAAGGATTTAAAAAAGGAATATGGTTTTTAACAACAACAACAAACAAACAAACATTTGTATTGAACAACAACAAACAAACAAACATTTGTATTTAACAACAACAAACAAACAAACATTTGTATTCGAACAAACTGACGTTAGTAAAAACTATAATTGTAAACAAATGTCCGTCGAACAAATTCTTTTCTGATACATCCGATACGTCAACCTAGGAGATCGGCGAAATGCAGGTCATAGTGTCCTGTTGGTTAACCTAGACAAGAAGAAGGATCTATAGCTCAACTTAGACAATAAGAAAGATCTATAGCTCAACTTAAACAATAAGAAAGATCTATAGCTCAACTTAAACAATAAGAAAGATCTATAGCTCAACTAAAACATTAAGAAAGATCTATAGCTCAACTTAGACAATAAGAAAGATCTATAGCTCAACTTAAACAATAAGAAAGATCTATAGCTCAACTAAAACATTAAGAAAGATCTATAGCTCAACTTAGACAATAAGAAAGATCTATGACTCAACTTAAACATTAAGAAAGATCTATAGCTCAACTTAGACAATACTAAAGATCTATAACTCAACTTAGACTATAAGAAAGATCTATAGCTCAACTTAAACATTAAGAAAGATCTATAGCTCAACTAAAGCATTAAGAAAGATCTATAGCTCAACTAAAACATTAAGAAAGATCGATAACTCAACTTAGACAATAAGAAAGATCATTAGCCTCACCTAAAAATTAAGTAATATCTATAGCCCGACCAAGACATTTATTAAGATCTATAGCTGATCTATAGCTCGATCTAGACCAGTTGTTCTCAACCTTCCTAATGCCACGACCCTTTATTACAATTCCTCATGTTGTGGTGACCCCCAACCACAAAATTATTTTCTTTGCTACCTCATAGCTCTACAGCATATGAGTTTTCCTATGGTCTTAGGCGACCCCTGGGAAAGGGCCGTTCGACCCCCAAAGGGGACGCGACCCACAGATTGAGAACCGCTGATCTAGACATATATATCTTATTTAAGCTCGATCTAGACATTAATTAATATCTATAGCTCGATCTAGACATTAAGTAAGATCTATAGCTCGATCTAGACATTAAATTAGATCTATAGCTCGATCTAGACATTAAATAAGATCTGTAACTTGACCTATACATTTAGTAAGATCTATAGCTCGATATAGACATTAAGTAAGATCTATAGCCCGACCTAGACATTTATCAAGAATTTGCCATTTAGGAATGAATGACTCCCCTTGAACACGCCCATAGTTGTGAACTTTTCAATCGACTGTTTTCTGTAACGTGTTCGCATGTGTAGATCACAAGGAGATCGCAGCTGCTGGTAATTAAGCCTTAGCAATAATTGAGACACGATATCAGGCGCGTGGGAGGTGGTACGTAGAGGACAGCCCGCCCCAGGGTGACGGTCGTCCCCCCCCCCCATAAGAGGACCAGCATTATCGGTAAACTGTAAAGGATTTTTACCGTGGAAGGGGACGGCAAAGAGCTCACATATTACTGTTACTGTGTTGCTCACAATCTCTTTCAAAATTTATTATGCCACTACATCAAAAAGAGTAGTGAATCGTCTAATCCTAACAAAATAAATTTCTTTCATCGAAACAGAATCACATATGTAAGGGCCTGCATTTCTTTGTTTATCTGTAAAAACCTGTCTCTGTCTGAGTTAGCGATGACGCGTTAGAACACTCAATTTTCTTATGTTTAATCAGCAGTCCGACTACCGTCTATAAATTAATCTTATTTTTATGCAGTCTCTTTGAGAACTAAAAACTCATCACAGTCTCTTTGAGAACATAGAACTCATCACAGTCTCTTAAGAACATAGTAATCATCACAATATCTTTGAGAACATAGAACTCACCACAGTCTCTTTGAGAACATAGAACTCATCACCATCTCTTTGAGAACATAGAACTCATCACAGTCTCTTAAGAACATAGAACTCATCACCATCTCTTTGTGAACATAGAACTCATCACAGTCTCTTAAAAACATAGAACTCATCACAATCTCTTGAGAACATAGAACTCACCACAGTCTCTTAAGAACATAGAACTCATCACCATCTCTTTGAGAACATAGAACTCATTACAGTCTCTTGAGAACATATAACTCAATCAAAATCTCTTTGAGAACAAAGAACTCATCACTATCTCTCGAGAACATAGAACTTATCGCAGTCTCTTTGAGAACATATAACTCATCGCAGTCTCTTTGAGAACATAAACTCATCACAGTCTCTTTGAGAACATAGAACTCATCACAGTCTCTTTGAGAACATAGAACTCATCACAATCTCTTTGAGAACATAGCACTCATCACAGTCTCTTTGAGAACATAAAACTCATCACAAACTCTTTGAGAACATAGAACTCATCACCATCTCTTTGAGACATAGAACTCATCACAGTCTCTTAAGAACATAGAAATCATCACAATATCTTTGAGAACATATAACTCATAACAGTCTCTTTGAGAACATAGAACTCATCACCATCTCTTTGAGAAAATATAACTCATCACAGTCTCTTAAGAACATAGAACTCATCACAGTCTCTTTGAGAACATATAACTCATCACAGTCTCTTAAGAACATAGTAATCATCACAATATCTTTGAGAACATAGAACTCACCACAGTCTCTTTGAGAACATAGAACTCATCACCATCTCTTTGAGAACATAGAACTCATCACCGTCTCTTAAGAACATAGAACTCATCGCAATCTCTTTGAGAACATAGAACTCATCACAGTCTCTTTGAGAACATAGAACTCATCACCGTCTCTTAAAAACATAGAACTCATCACCATCTCTTTGAGAACATAGAACTCATCACAGTCTCTTTGAGAACATAGAACTCATCACAATCTCTTTGAGAACATAGAACTCATCACAGTCTCTTTGAGAACATAGAACTCATTACAGTCTCTTAAGAACATAGAACTCATCACAGTCTCTTTGAGAACATAGAACTCATCACAGTCTCTTTGAGAACATATAACTCATCACAGTCTCTTTGAGAACATAGAACTCATCACAGTCTCTTAAGAACATAGAAATCATCACAATATCTTTGAGAAATAAGAACTCATCACAGTCTCTTTGAGAACATAGAACTCATCACCATCTCTTTGAGAACATAGAACTCATCACAGTCTCTTTGAGAACATAGAACTTATCACAGTCTCTTTGAGATCATAGAACTTATCACAGTCTCTTTGAGAACATAGAACTCATCACAGTCTCTTTGAGAACATAGAACTTATCATGGTCTCTTTAAGAACATAGAACTCATCATGGTCTCTTTGAGAACATAGAACTCATCACAGTCGCTTTGATAACATATAACTCATCACAGTCTCTTAAGAACATAGTAATCATCACAATATCTTTGAGAACATAGAACTCACCACAGTCTCTTTGAGAACATAGAACTCATCACAGTCTCTTTGATAACATAGAACTTATCACAATCTCTTTGAGAACATAGAACTCACCACAGGCTCTTCGAGATCATAGAACTCATCGCAGTCTCTTTGAGAACGTAGAACTCATCACAATCTCTTTGAGAACATAGAACTCATTCAGATTTGTGTTTTTGACAGCCATGAGACTATCAACCAATGAGCCGCGATGCGTTACTCTGTTCAGGGCAATTCAACTGTTACCGTAACAAAGAAAAAAGAGAACTTTCGGACACTAAGCGGCCGGGACATGTAACGTCAAAGGCCCCACCAAATTATTCTTGCCCGAGGCCCGCACCCTCCAAGCAACGGCCCTGTGGGGGTGGTACTAACCCTAGCTACGCCACTGATAGCTATCATGGTTCGAGTCCAACAAACAAAAATATCCGTGACATTTCAAATGACTAAAATGTTTTAGTCTATCTACATGTACCGTGATTATAAATAGATGGAATAGTTCCGGTGTTGAATGCATTGCCCACCCCCAGCCCACCGACCCCCACACATAAATTAAGAAATAAGAAAAAAGTTATCATTACTTCTAGATGTTCAAGTCATAAGCAGTTGCTGTTTTCATTGGAATTGTCAAACGCTATAAAAAACTAAAAGGTGTTGCCCTGCAGCAGTGGCGTCACTAGGGTTGGTCATGCACTTTGTTATAGTACTTAGCTGCCATCTTTTATGGAACCAACTAAAATGAACTTTTGTGAAATGTGTGTCTTTTTCCATTCTGGTGTCAATGTGTCACCCAGGACGACCGCACCCTCGCGACACTGGCCCGCTGGCCGGCTCTGGTACATTCCCAGAGACACGCCCCCTGGGCAGCCTTACTTTGTGTTTCCCTGCGGCTACTGTGTCTCTGCAGCAGCCAGGTCGCCACGAAGATGGTCAGAACCACAAGTACAGATGCGATGGCAACACACGAGGCCAGGGCGACTGTCGCAAACGCGTCACTTCCGTCATCTGAAGAAATTGAAAATAATGTCAGGATTATTATCCCGCAACTTCCTTTAATGGGGAAACAAAATTGAATTTTTCACCATCAACTAAATGGCATGGATGATAGCAGACTTAAGAAGTCAACAGCCCTCAAATGGTGTTAGTGAGAATATTAACTTTTTTTGGCAGGGTCTAGTGTATTGCGAGGGTCTCTCTCTTCTCCCCCCCCAGATCGGAAAGAGCCCAAAGCGGACTCTCAAATATTATTCCAGAAATCAGAAGAAAACCTACATTACTCAGAGGTCATTTGTTGTTAATGTCATACAGCCAAAACAATCTCACCTACTTCCATACCTTCGAGGCTGCCATTGAGCCAGATCTCCACTGACCGAATGACTGGACACGCGATGGGCTCGTCCTCACACTCGTAGCCTATTGGTTCAAGGGTGATCCAATAGTTGCCTCCCACCACTCCCACGAAAGTAGCCTCGTTCTCGCCACTGTCAACCTTTAGACATAGTCACAGAAGCGAACCGTTGAATTAGTTAAAGATAAGCCACGGGGTGAAGGGGTGAGAAATGGAAAAGTTCATATTAAAAAGGATTTTAAAAGCTCCATTTAAATTATTTAGCTCTGATTTTTATCTTATGTCTCCGCAAAGAAAAACAAAAACAAAAAACAAGACCACCAAAAAACAAGACCACCAAAAAACAAGACCACCAAAAAACAAGACCACCAACTTTATGAAATGTATATTCCAAATGCACCATATCTCTAAGCCCATCGTTACATTGTCTTATTGGACCTCGTTACTTGCAATGTCGGTATTTATTGGCACGCTGCCAGAGATGAAACATAGTTTACATTTGGTTGCCCCAGGCAACTTGTCCAATAGGATAACCAACCAAAACCTAGTTCTATTCCTGACCAACTTGTCCAAAAGGATAACCAACCAAAACCTAGTTCTATTCCTGACCAACTTGTCCAATAGGATAACCAACCAAAACCTAGTTCTATTCCTGACCAACTCGTCCAAAAGGATAACCAACCAAAACCATAGATCCATAGCTACTCAACCTGTCTCATGGGAATGCCCAACATCTAAATCTAATTATTGCCTACCCAATCTGTCTCATGAGACCACCCAACTCAAAACTAGGTCTCTGGCTACCCTACCTGTCCCATAACCCTAACCCTAACTTTTATTCACACATTCTAACCCTAACCCTAACTTATGTTCACACATTCTAACTAAACCCTGGACTTTTCCGTAGTCCCCCCCCCACCCACATTGGCGAGTAGTTCTCACGACTGGTACATTACCCCGTAGTTCTCCCGACTGGGTACATTACCCCGTAGTTCTCATGATTGGGTACATTACCCCGTAGTTCTCCCGACTAGGTACATTACCCCGTAGTTCTCATGACTGGGTACATTACCCCGTAGTTCTCATGACTGGGTACATTACCCCGTAGTTCTCATGACTGGGTACATTACCCCGTAGTTCTCATGACTGGGTACATTACCCCGTAGTTCTCACGACTGGGTACATTACCCCGTAGTTCTCATGACTGGGTACATTACCCCGTAGTTCTTACGACTGGGTACATTACCCCATAGTTCTTACGACTGGGTACATTACCCCATAGTTTTTACGACTGGGTACATTACCAATTTTGACTGGACGATTCCATGCCTGTTCTGTAAAGACACGTTGACCATGACGTCATCATACACCGGGGGAACAAAGACAACATGGATGCATCTCTCGTCTGTCAAGGTTGCCACGGCAACCATCCGCTCTTTCCACATCTGATTGGTGTCTGCATTGAAGACCAGGGGAAAAGGATAATGGGAGAATCTTTAAGAATTAAAGCAAATATGGTTCTAATGAGACGAGCCAGACTTTTGGTCAGTATGGTTCTGATGAGATGACTGGAACTTTTGGTCAATATGTTTCTGATGAGATAACTGGGACTTTTGGTCAGTATGGTTCTGATGAGATGACTGGAACTTTTGGTCAATATGTTTCTGATGAGATAACTGGGACTTTTGGTCAGTATGTTTCTGACGAGATGACTGGAACTTTTGGTCAATATGTTTCTGATGAGATGACTGGGACTTTTGGTCAGTATGGTTCTGATGAGATGACTTGGACTTTTGGTCAATATGTTTCTGATGAGATGACTGGGACTTTTGGTCAGTATGTTTCTGATGAGATGACTGGGACTTTCGGTCAATATGTTTCTGATGAGATGACTGGGACTTTTGGTCAGTATGTTTCTGATGAGATGACTGGGACTTTTGGTCAGTATGTTTCTGATGAGATGACTGGGACTTTTGGTCAGTATGGTTCTGATGAGATGACTGGGACTTTTGGTCAGTATGTTTCTGATGAGATGACTGGAACTTTTGGTCAATATGTTTCTGATGAGATGACTGGGACTTTTGGTCAGTATGGTTCTGATGAGATGACTGGGACTTTTGGTCAGTATGTTTCTGATGAGATGACTGGAACTTTTGGTCAATATGTTTCTGATGAGATGACTGGGACTTTTGGTCAGTATGTTTCTGATGAGATGACTGGGACTTTTGGTCAGTATGTTTCTGATGAGATGACTGGGACTTTTGGTCAGTATGTTTCTGATGAGATGACTGGGACTTTTGGTCAGTATGTTTCTGATGAGATGACTGGGACTTTTGGTCAGTATGTTTCTGATGAGATGACTGGGACTTTTGGTCAGTATGTTTCTGATGAGATGACTGGGACTTTTGGTCAGTATGTTTCTGATGAGATGACTGGGACTTTTGGTCAGTATGTTTCTGATGAGATGACTGGGACTTTTGGTCAGTATGTTTCTGATGAGATGACTGGGACTTTTGGTCAGTATGTTTCTGATGAGATGACTGGGACTTTTGGTCAGTATGTTTCTGATGAGATGACTGGGACTTTTGGTCAGTATGTTTCTGATGAGATGACTGGGACTTTTGGTCAGTATGTTTCTGATGAGATGACTGGGACTTTTGGTCAGTATGTTTCTGATGAGATGACTGGGACTTTTGGTCAGTATGTTTCTGATGAGATGACTGGGACTTTTGGTCAGTATGTTTCTGATGAGATGACTGGGACTTTTGGTCAGTATGTTTCTGATGAGATGACTGGGACTTTTGGTCAGTATGTTTCTGATGAGATGACTGGGACTTTTGGTCAGTATGTTTCTGATGAGATGACTGGGACTTTTGGTCAGTATGTTTCTGATGAGATGACTGGGACTTTTGGTCAGTATGTTTCTGATGAGATGACTGGGACTTTTGGTCAGTATGTTTCTGATGAGATGACTGGGACTTTTGGTCAGTATGTTTCTGATGAGATGACTGGGACTTTTGGTCAGTATGTTTCTGATGAGATGACTGGGACTTTTGGTCAGTATGTTTCTGATGAGATGACTGGGACTTTTGGTCAGTATGTTTCTGATGAGATGACTGGAACTTTTGGTCAATATGTTTCTGATGAGATGACTGGGACTTTTGGTCAGTATGGTTCTGATGAGATGACTGGGACTTTTGGTCAGTATGTTTCTGATGAGATGACTGGGACTTTTGGTCAGTATGGTTCTGATGAGATGACTGGGACTTTTGGTCAATATGGTTCTGATGAGATGACTGGGACTTTTGGTCAATATGGTTCTGATGAGATGAGTGAGACTATTGGTCAGTATGGTTCTGATGAGATGAGTGAGACTATTGGTCAGTATGGTTCTGATGAGATGACTGGGACTTTTGGTCAGTATGGTTCTGATGAGATGACTGGAACTTTTGGTCAGTATGGTTCTGATGAGATGACTGGAACTTTTGGCCAATATGGTTCTGCTGAGATGACTGGGACTTTTGGTCAATATGGTTCTGATGAGATGAGTGAGACTATTGGTCAGTATGGTTCTGATGAGATGAGTGAGACTATTGGTCAGTATGATTCTGATGAGATGAGTGAGACTATTGGTCAGTATGGTTCTGATGAGATGGTTGGGACTTTTTGTCTTTGAAATAAATCGACTCCATTAAAATATAATATGATACCCTCTCACCCTTCCACACGCTTGTTCACATCCAACCAATCCCATTGAAGCATGTTTTGGGGTGTTCCTTGAACTACAACTATATAAGTATTTCATTCATTACATCATTTAAAAACGAAGTTTGATTAACTAAGATCAAAGATACTATGACCCGTTATTTCATTGAACCAATTAAAGATCAAAGATACTATGACCCGTTATTTCATTGAACCACTTAAAGATCAAAGATACTATGACCCGTTATTTCATTGAACCAATTAAAGATCAAAGATACTATGACCCGTTATTTCATTGAACCAATTAAAGATCAAAGATACTATGACCCGTTATTTCATTGAACCAAATTAAAGATCAAAGATATTAATGACTCGTTGCGATTTAACTTTTTATTTACTATTTAATATAACACATGGCATGAAAATATGTTTTAAGCATTGTGCGCCCCTAAAATATAAGCACCCTAAGGGCCTGTACAAAAACTACCCCCATCATGCACGGATATTGCCACTACCCCACAACGCCCTGTACAGAACTCCTCCCCATCCCCCCACCCCCCTCTCCTTTACTGAAGAGACATGTATAGAATCTGACAGTGGCTGAAACCAGTAGAAAGTGTTCACAGAACTCTGTACCATTTATTGAAAGCAAATCGAAGTACACATGTGTTACGAAATTTAATTGAAAAGAAATGGTATCTCCATTAACTGGTGATATTATGTTGCGATGAAACACATAGAGTAAAACGAAACAATTACAATACCCAGAGGCGTAATAAAGTGGGGGGGGCAGAGGGAGGCAGATGTGCCTGGGCGCCTGATTAGTTAGGGGCTTCAAAATGTGCTTTGATATTATTTTATTGATGAAAATAATGGGTTTGAGAGTTTTAAAAAAATGGAAAAAAGGGGGGGGGGAACTTTAAAACGAATCTTGTCCCCGGGCGCCAAACACTCTAGTACGCCTCTGACTATACCTGTAAGAAAAAACATTCAAATTTTATTTTATTTGAGTAAACGAAAAGCATTGAATAGTTTCTCGAGAGACTGACGTAAGAGGCGCCATTTTATGAAGAAAAACAACAACTTAAACACGTGACTTACCGTAGTCATCGTACGCCACTTGATGATTTTCCCAGGAAATGACGTAATCCAGCGCGTGGTTCGTTGGAATGGTGGTCAGTCGAAGCCGGAAGACGCTGTACGTGATGCCGATGCCGATACAGTCGTAAGGGATGATCAGGTTCTTCAAGACAAAGGAAAGGGAAGGCGTTTGTGGATAAAATTAATATAGTCTGAGTATGTGTGTGTATGTCTTTGTGTGAGTGTATCTGAGTGTTTATATATATATGTGTGTGTGTGTG